CAGGTCCGTGTGTGTGCAGTGTGTGTGTGGGGACAATCTGCTGCAATGCCAACTTCATCGCTGCGACGGAGGAGAGCGACGAGCCATTCAGCCTCGTGCCTTTCGACGGGTATGAAACACACAGAGAGGGAGGCTGCGTGCTCATCCTGTGGTGCACGTGTGTGCGTGTGTGTGTGAGAAGGATATGCGGATTGAGTCTGCCGCAGATGTCTGAGGGGCCCTCATTCAACCTGTTCGACTGCTTCATCCGAGTAAGATGACCCACACCCATCCTAAGGGGTGTGTGTGGCGTGTGTGTCGGTATGTATGCGTTGCATCCATCCATCTGTAGGACAAAGTCTTGAAGAGCAACGTCTTCTCGGTCTTCTTCGGCGCAACTGATAACGAGGAGTCAGAAGTAAGATAAGTCGGATGGACCAAGACAACACACACACACACACACAGAGAGAGAGAGAGAGATGCACACCAAGGGGGGCCTACAAACCTGTCTGTCTGTGTGTGATCTATGTATGTGTAGATAACCTTTGGCGAGTACAAGCCGGAGCGCATGGCGTCCGAGCTGTTTTGGGTCAAGGTGACCAACCCCGGCTACTGGCAGGTGGCCATGGACGACATCTGCATCAACAACATGCCACAGAACCTTTGCAATAACGGAACATGCCAGGTACCTACCTACCTCTGCCTCTGGACCCCCTCTCCCTCTCTCCCTCTCTCTCTCTCTCTCTCTGTCTGTGTGTGTGTGTGTGTGTATGTATGTTTAGGTAGCAGTAGACACCGGCACCTCTCTGATGGCCGGCCCCATGGACGTCATTGAGCGGCTCGTCGAGACGCTCAACGTCGCCACCGACTGCAGCAACTACCACACGTCAGCACACACGCATATATGGCCGTGTGCTGTGTGCTGTGGATGGATGGATGTCAGGCTGCCCGACTTGGGGTTCAAAATGGGCGGCCACATTCTCAACTTGAGACCTGACGACTACGTCGACAAAGTGAGTGTGCACACAGCCGACACACACACAGACAGACACAAAGAGAGAAAGGGAGGGGGAGAGAGAGAGAGACATCCACACGATGCACAAACGACACACACGCACTCAAGGATGGATGTGTGTGTCTGTGTCTGTGTCTGTGTCTGTGTAGGGTGAGGACGGCTGCAGCGTGGCGTTGATGACCTTGGACATCCCCCCGCCAAAGGGCCCCCTCTTCATATTCGGAGACCCATTCCTCCGCAAATACTACACAGTACAGACAGACAGGCACCATTCGCTTCGGTGGACACAGAGAGTGGGGCTTAAAAAGGGGCGAGTGTGTCTCCCCCCCCCCCCC